AACTGGGGGGTGATGAGAGCCCAGCTTAACTCGATTTCGATTTCGTTTAGCAAACCAGAACATCGCAGCAGCAGATGGCCTACAATTGCGAATCGAGAAATCTTTGACCAACATCCCGCATGTGGAAGTAATCAAGTCATCCCATACCATACCATCCCATCCCGTTGAGATCCCAGATCCCCGATCCCAGACCAAAAAAGAGACCCAAAACTGAACTCAGACGACAGCGGCACGCACGACTTGACCTGCCTCAAGAGCAGCTGAATTGGATATAGAACTGGGGATCAGGGATCGGGAAACGTGGATCGAAGACGCCAAGAAGTGAACGGTCCGCATAACCGTTTAAGTTAATTACGATTATGATTACGATTATGATTATGGCATGAGCTTCAGTTTAAGCTTAACTTATCAGCCCATCAATGGGGGATTATAGAAATGAAAAGTGCTGCGTGCAGTCGGCGGAATCAGAATTATTGATATTCAATTAGTGTAACTGGCTAACAGGTGGTACGGTTAAACCGAACGAAGCGGCCCAGAACGAACCAAAGTAAATAATACCAACAATTAATTTGGTTTCGGAAATTATGGGCGTGTGGATGCAGGGTACGTAGATGGTATGGCACGGGTTAACTTGGACCCACTCCACACCATACACACTCCACTTTTCAAGCAGACCACGAAGAGGAAGTGGCTAAGACTGCGGCAAGCCGCCAGTTCAACAGCTGCACTTCTTCTGGCCCAGAGTTATGCTGGTCCTTGGCTCCTTTATACCGCTTCTTTCCCTTTTTCTTCAGCCGCTTCAGTTCCTCTGACTAGACGACACTGGAAGATTTAAATGCCTTTGGGCACTGAGTCTCCATCTCCAGCACGTGCTCAGCATTCAGATTCAGATACAGATACAAATTCAGCGCGAGCCTCGAAAGGTGCAAACTAGAAGATACAAAACGAGAAACTCCCACGATCATTTGGGCATCGGACTCAGCCCACTCGAGATTGATGTATTGATCCCTCCCGGGATGATCGATCATTCTACCGGCTGGGATTCACCCCGGCCCCCCTTTCAAAGTGCTCGAGTCCAAACAAAGCCACTGACAATTTCCTTTGACAGTTTTTACCGTTTCCCCCGATTGCTGTTTATGTCGCCGATTATTTCTGCTGCGGATTGTGCGCCTCTTTTTGCATATGCGGATTTCGGGGCAGGATTCGGATTCAGGGGAGTGATTGATTTCGGACAGTCAGTCAGTCAGTTCTTCAGCTCATCAGTTCATCAGTCGGGGCAGCTGTTTTGGCAGGCAGCACTATCTAATGGATATTTAAATTGCATTGTTCAGAGATATTGTCGGTCGAGTGTTAACAAGAATGTAAGAAAATATCCAGAAAGGGGCTTAAAAGATATCTGAAATTATATAAAAATCAAAATTTAATGGTTACACTTTAAAAATACATTTTTACTTCGATTTGAGATTAGTTATACCCGTTACTCGTAGAGTAAAAGGGTATACTAGATTCGTCGGAAAGTATGTAACAGGCAGAAGGAAGCGTTTCCGACCCCATAAAGTATATATATTCTTGATCAGGATCACTAGCCGAGTCGATCTAGCCATGTCCGTCTGTCCGTCTGTCCGTCTGTCCGGATGAACGCTGAGATCTCGGAAACTATGGGAGCTAGGCTATTGAGATTTGGCGTGCAGATTCCTGAGCTTCCTACGCAGCGCAAGTTTGTTTCAGTAGACTGCCACGCCCACTCTAACGCCCACAAACCGCCCAAAACTGTGGCTCCTACAGTTTTGATGCTAGATAGAAAATTTTAACAGAAATGTAATGTTCTCATCAATACCTATCGATTGACCCAAAAAAAAGTTTGCCACGCCCACTTTAACGCCCACAAACCGCAAAACCCTGTGACGCCCACAATTTTCATGCTAGATAAAAAATTTTAACTGAAATGTATTGGTCTCGTCAATACCTATCGATTGATCCAAAAAAAATTTGCCACGCCCACTTTAACGCCCATAACGCTTAAATCTGTATACCGCCGGTAGGTGGCGCATTTTAATCTCGCTTTGCTGCTTGCATATCTCCATTTAGCTGAGTAACGGGTATCTGATAGTCGAGGTACTCGACTATAGCGTTCTCCCTTGTTTTTCTTAGTATCCTGACGCTACGAATAAGTAACTTTTGAGGGTAGATACATTTTTAAGAACTTACTTTGTGATAATACAACATTAAATTATTTTTCTATTTAAAAATACATTTTCATCTTTAAAACCAATACCAGCTAAGCACATCTAGTATATGAAAATAATAAACTTGCAAATAATTTCAACTTCACCCAGAATGATTACAAAATTATTTTGTAGATTCATATTTCATCTAGTTGTCCAAACCATAACTAACATACGATTTGATGCACTTTATTCTTTTACCATTCCCGCATAAACCTTTACACCTTTGTCGCGTGCGGAGGCTCCATCAGAATCATAAAAACCGCCCAAACAAATCCCACTAATTAACAACAGAATCGCGGGCGTATTATCGCATTCAAATTAGCAGCGGACACACCAGGCAAATAATAACAATCGAATAGAAAGAAGACCCGAAATGCATGGCGAAATATTTGGCAATTTTTATGTGGAATTTGTGGGCCCAAAAACAGTAGGTAAACAACCAAAACAACGAGACAATGAAGGAAGCAGCATCCACCACGATTTTGTGGGCCATAAATAACTCGAATCATTTGGCCCAGAACGACCTCGTCAGCAGGACACTCGGAAAATGCAACTGCAACGAAAAGGCAAACATTTCATTAGTCAAAGTACATTTTAAGGAGGGGTGGGGAGGTGAGGGTTGAATAGTAAAAGTACCACTCGCAAAACAAAATTCGATGCTAATTTCGGGCTAATAAATTATGCCTTTTGACAGTCTTGCCGAACGGGATGGATCTGTACTTGCCAATTTTATCTTTCCAATTCTTCACTGATTGCTATCGCAGTTTTTCCATATTGATTGCTATCGGTGATTTCCAGGGATTTCGTTTTGAGGCCCACACACAAGTCACTTCGCTAAATGTCTGGTAATTAAATCAGAGTGGAAATTAAGACTCTAACATTTTTATAAGGAAAATCCCACAAAATCACCACAGGTCGTCTCGAGAACTCCTTGGCTTGGCATGCTCGGCAGGAGATATGTTTGGCCCGAGGGCAATTGCACACTTCACACCTCGAATCCCACATCTCACACCCCGCCTCGGGAATCCTCAGACTCCAGAGTCTAGAGTCTAGAGTCTAGAGTCCAGAGCCAGACGCATCCTGTGGCGCATGGCAAGACATCATCGTCGGTGTTTGGTGTCATTAGCGTCAGGCACTCGGAGGCGTCTGCCTTGGTCGCCACCTGCCGGGCCCGTGCCTCGACTGACGTTACAATTACCTTGTAATGCGAGGCACGATGACGACGACCGCAGAATTACAAAACAACACCCAAGGAGCCGAGAAGATGTCACCTCTACGTGAGCAGAACCAGAGGAGATGCAGCTCCTCTTCAGCTGCAAACCAGTAGAGTCATCAATTTTCACTTACCATCCTCTCGGTTGTGAGTTCCTTGTGGTCTTTGAGAATTCTTAGCCCCTGCGGCATAGATAATATTTATTAAAACGTATAGTAAATAAACTTGTAGGAGAGATTAATAAAGTTCAAAGATAACCTTAACTTTGTTACCATATTTAAAGATCTTTATTTTTACCTTTATTTTTACTATCTAAAAAAATGAATTAGGCTAAAAATTCACTTGATCGGAAGCAATATATTTAAATGCATATCCAAAGGAAGAACGTATAGATATTTCCTTTCAATTCCGTTTTAAATGTATGGTTGAATAAACCCTTATTTTGTTAACATATTTTCAGATCTCTAATGGTGAACATCATAAAAGTATTATGTTCTCTTTAAAACCGAGGGAAATTCAATTTTTATTTCGTTCATCATAAAGTCCTAATTATGTTACTATACTTTAAGATCTCTTATATTAAACTTCACAAACTTTTATTAACCATTTAAAGAATCAAATTAAGTGAAAAGTGCTCTCGATCAGAACCCTTATCTTTACAATGCATATCGCAAGGGATGTTAGAAACTTCCTTCAGTCATAAATGTGATAGTTGAAGGGGATTCAAGTAGTTGGTTCCCATTGAAGATCGGAGCATATTTATTGGATTACTTCGTCAAAGAGTGGAAAACAAAGCATTTTCACACTGCCCTGGGCGAAAACCCTTGGCCAGAAGCAGCTACCAGTTCCCTTTCTTCCCGAGGAGACCAATATAAATCCAATTAGCACGCCTTTGTCTGATCTAGCACACACCGCTGAGGAAGAAGGATCGGAAGAAAGGAAGCGAACGTATCGAAAGGAAGACGAGCACAATGGAACTCTTAACACACTTCATCAGTTCGGGGTCTCGGCGATATCTCAGGGGTTTTTTTTTTTCTTACCAAGGGATGTGTGCCCTCGCCAAAGTTTATGACTTGCGCACCTTTTGTGCTCACCATTAAACGCCATTAGCGGGCATTTAAGGATCGCTTTTCGGGTCTAATTTTTGTGTAAAGGTCGCCGAGGTTAAACCGGGGTTAGGAGGGTGTTCCGGCGCACACCTAATCTAATAAGCCGCAAGCACGCAAACAAGTTCACGTGGGAAAATTGGAGCGGTCCAGAACTGCTTCAGGAGAGCAAGGCGTGGGCCGTCGGGATAATTCTGAGATGGGTGTGTGTGGGAAGTGGTCGGCTTCGGGCGGTGGGTTATTTATGGATTGCCGCTAACTACGAACCCAAGTTGCAATTGGATATGGGAAGAGATCGCGATCGCGCAAAGGAAACAACGCCCAATGTCAGTGCCCCGGGGGAATCGCATCAATTTCTGCACTTTATGTGACATAATCCCAGCCAGAACGGCTGGCTATAAAAGCCGGGATCTGATGGAGCAGCCTCCACAGTATCGCGTGAAGCTTTGCAGAATGTGGCGCATCTGCGGATTCGTTCTGCTCCTTTGTGGCCTTATCGCTGGCCAAACCAGTGAGGAGGATCTCAGCAAGGATGTGCCGGATGAGGACGACCCCATTGGCAACAACAAGGAGCTATCGGACCTGGTCATCACCACAGCGTTGGGCAAGATTCGGGGCACCATTCTGCCCTCCCAGTCGGGTCGCAATTTCTACGCCTTTCGTGGAGTTCCCTATGCCAAGCCACCAGTGGATCGCCTTCGTTTCCAGCCACCGGAACCCGTGGAGCAGTGGTTCGATGTGCTGGACGCCACCTTTGATGGTCCCAAGTGCCCACAGCTGGGACTAATAAGTGGAGATGTAAGCGAAGACTGCCTCAGAGTTAATATATACACCAAGGAGCTGCCCAGCGAGTCGCAGCCGAACATACGAAGACCTGTGATCGTGTTCATCCATCCTGGAGGCTTCTACTCCTTATCCGGCCAGAGCAAGAACTTTGCGGGACCCCAGTACTTTATGGATCGTCGGCTAGTCCTGGTCACGTTTAATTACCGGCTGGGTTCGTTGGGTTTCCTGGCCACAGGGAGCAAGGAGGCTCCAGGGAATATGGGACTCAAAGACCAGGTGCAGCTCCTCCGGTGGGTCAAGCTGCACATTTCTCGCTTCGGCGGAGATCCGACTTCCATCACTCTATTGGGCTACGGAGCTGGAGCGATGGCTGTGACGCTGCATATGGTTTCCCCCATGTCTAGGGGTCTCTTCCATAAAGCCATCGTGATGAGTGGAGCAGTCACAGGTCAGTGGTCACTGCCGGATCACCAGATGGAAGTGGCCACCAAGCAGGCTACTTTGCTTCATTGTCACGTGGAGAACGTCACCGAAATGGTGGACTGTCTTAGAGGGGTAAGCTTTTAAAGAACAATAGCCAACCTCTTTGTAAAACTTGTATACCATAGAAACATTACCTGGAATACGCAAATAGCTTGCCAAAAATGTTCGAGTTCGACAGGAATAATCCCTTGATTCTGTGGAAGCCTGTTATTGAGCCGGACTTTGGACAGGAACGCTTTCTGGTGGAGGATCCTATAAAGAGCTATCAAAACGATGATTTCATGAAAGTACCCATTATTACGGGAATGACCAAGGACGAGTTTGTGGGACCAGCCTTGTGTAAGTACTAGCTTCAAAGATCTTACTTCTTATTAAACATTTTATTTTTGTAGCCATCCTACAAAGTCCTTCTCTGCTGAGTGCTTTAAATGAGAACTTCGAGTCTTTGGCCCCCGTATTCTTTATGTACAATGAGAGTGATCCTCGAGTCGGCAATATAAGCCAGGAGCTAAGGAATCACTACTTCCAGCAGCAGCCCATCGATGCCAACCGTTCTTTGGAGGCCTTGTCCAATTTTTACTCGGATGCATTGACTGGTTTCGGAATCCACCGATTTGTGCATCTGGCGGCCAGGTCAACGAAGGTCTACTACTATCGATTTTCATATCAGGGGGAAAGGAGTCATATTTATTATCCGGAAGATGCACCCTATGGGGTGGTTCACCACGATGATCTGATGTATCTGTTTGTGGAACCCTCGATCAGTCGCATGTTTACAGAAGATGACGACGAATTTCGCATGGTGGATATAATGGTCAGGATGTTCTCCGCCTTTGCTTATAAGGGGTAACTGTAAACAGTATTGTTTTAAACTTCCAACTAAATAAGTATTGTTACAGCGATCCCAATAAACCCACCGATTTGGCCTTGAGGGATATCCGTTGGCGTCCTTTTAGCTTCAAGAAACGCTACTACCTAGATATTGGAAAGCATCTAACTCTGCAGGAGAACCTCAACGCCGAGCGCTACGAGATCTGGAAACGACTCTTCCCCCTCAACTGGCGACGTCAGACCAAGGAGGTTTAAGCTCAAAAGGGTAGTGCTTTGCTCACATCTGTACTTTTCAAATACAGGCCACTAGGCAAATTTATTTAAATTGCTTAACTTTGTTTTTATACCCGTTACTCGTAGAGTAAAAGGGTATACTAGATTCGTCGGAAAGTATGTAACAGGCAGAAGGAAGCGTTTCCGACCCCACAAAGTATATATATTCTTGATCAGGACCACTAGCCGAGTCGATCTAGCCATGTCCGTCTGTCCGTCTGTCCGTCTGTCCGTCTGTCCGTCTGTCCGTATGAACGCTGAGATCTCGGAAACTATGAGAGTTACAATACTGGGATTAGGCACGCAGATTCCTGAGATTCCTGCGCAGCGCAAGTTTGTTTCAGCACAGTGCCACGCCCACTCTAACGCCCACAAACCGCCCAAAACTGTGGCTCCTACAGTTTTGATGCTAGAATAAAAATTTTAACTGAAATGTATTGTTCTCATCAATACCTATCGATTGACCCAAAAAAAAGTTTGCCACGCCCACTTTAACGCCCACAAACCGCGAAAACCTGTGACGCCCACAATTTTCATGCTAGATAAAAAATTTTAACTGAAATGTATTGGTCTCGTCGATACCTATCGATTGATCCAAAAAAAAATTTGCCACGCCCACTCTAACGCCCATAACGCTTAAATCTGTATACCGCCGGTAGGTGGCGCATTTTAATCTCGCTTTGCTGCTTGCATATCTCCATATAGCTGAGTAACGGGTATCTGATAGTCGAGGTACTCGACTATAGCGTTCTTCCTTGTTTTCTACTGCTCAGTTGCCAAGTGACAAGCCAATTGGCATATTTTCAACTATCCAGTTGGATGGGCCTCCCCCTGAAAGTTGTTTTGGGTCTTCGTGTCATCGCTGTGTGGGTGCATATATTATACGACAGTCGGCACCCGATAACAGTTCTACGTGTCGTACATTATGGCTTGTCGTCGATCGCGTGCTATGCTTGGGCACTGAGAGAAATTTAGGGGAGAATAATAATAATAATAATTATAATCTGAATTTACAAGAAATTTTGGACTTTCTGACTGTGTGACTGAGTATAATCATTTATTAATATACCTACAAATATATAAATAAGCTATAGCTTAAAAGTTGTATTATGCGAAATGAATGACTACTACACATATTTTAATTAGACTAATAAAGTTTATAAGTTTTAAAAAACTTCATTAGAAGGTTTATTAAAATAAATTTTCATAAACAGTAGGTTAATTTAAGTGTGTGAAATTAGTGTTCATCATAAAAAATATGAATACTTTAGTGTACGATTATGTTTAATACAATTTTAAACTAAAACTCTGAATTTGTCAACAATTTTTAATTTGTTTTAGCAAATTTACTGAGGAAAGGACAACATTCCTATGCTAAGATATATAATATATATATAAGATATAGATTCAAAATTAAAGCTTGAAGAGTTGATGTAATTTAGAATTTATCGATGATTAGTGTAATTTATAATGTATTAAGCTCTCTTGTTTTTGGCATAATATTTTTTTAAGTGTATACCACCTCCGCTGAAGCCTCAATTGCTGTTGCTGCCACCGCACATCTGTGATGTAGCCTCATCCATCCACTTTGCTGTTAGTGGGTCGCTCACAAATGTGTTTTCGTTTTTATTGCTCTTATCGGAGTTTGGTTACGCTCCAGAGCATGACAATGTCAAAAGCGGAGTCGTCCAATTCGAGTGGCTCGTGTCCTGCCCTCGGCTCATTAGCATAGTGGCCAACACATGACGCTCTCGATCTGAATACCACCCAACCATCCATCTACCCATCCGTTCCAATTGGCAATTGAAAAGTCCGTCATGAGTCACGCCACATCCTCATCCTGCGGCCCAAAGGTCCTGCGGGGGTGCCACCAGTTGGAAAACTTTAACATATTAATTTATGCAAATTGCAAGGCAACCGAATGCGATGCGGTATCGCTGCCTATAGATCAATGCATGTCGGGGTTGCTCATTTTGATCGTTTCCACTTTAGTTTTAATTGTTTCGCTTGTCAGCGGAGCCAGAAAGAGATCAGCAATCGAGATCGGCAATGAGAGCATATGCTGTCTGTGTGCCATAATTTGTTAGATGCAAAAAAAAAAGAAAATAAAGAGGAGGAAAGTTTCCAGGAGAGTGGTGGTGGGACTGGGACTCAGATCGAGTCTGTGGCATTCCAATTTCCAGGGAAATATTTGGACAAGCGTCGCAGCAGATTTCGATTTCCGCGAACTGCCAAAGCGCAAATAAAGTTGTGAGAGCGCTGCAATCCCAATAGCAATCCCAATCCCAAAGCCCCCAGGGTCCAAATCATATCAGATGGGGCCCAGTCGGCCAAGAGGTGTCTGCGTTTCCTGCTGGGACTGCCTTCTCCCGAGGATTTTATGCCTGGTGTTGGCGGCCAGGCCAGGTTTTATTGACTGATGGAAATCGCTCAAAGAGCAGTTGAATTTTCGCTGAGCTTGCTTGCCCACAAAATGTAATTAGATTGCCAGGCGAGGAGTACGAGTCCAACTCCCATGGAACCGCAAGGCCAACTCTTCGGCTGTGGTTTTCCCCAGATCCCAAGAAAATACCCAAGACGCGTGCTTGGAACTCCTGCTGTCAACATCAGTGCCCAGGAATCTCGTCGAGCTGCGGCCAAAAGGCAATGAAGTTGTCTGGCAATTGACGCGCGATAAGACCGAGAGACACAGTTCGAAAACTCTGTGCGCAAAAGGCCAAAACAAAGGCGATCCAGTCGCGAAACTCCTCCGTTGTCCCCTCTTACATAGAAAAATTTGCACAAACATCACAAAACTCATAAATAACAACAACAACGACAGGCGGCAGCAGCTGAAGTTGAAGTTGAAGTTGCAACTGCAACGGCTAGAGATACAACTACAACTATTGCATCCAGAAAGTGTCCACCTATGTGCGACTCCTTGGCCCTCGACTCTTTATCCAGCGATGGATAATGTGCTTTGGACTCCACAATTTATGAGTCACTTGGCAGCCTGTGTTGGACCGAAAGCTATGCCAGGCATTTATTGGGTTAAGTTCAGCAGATGGAGGCATTGACATATTTCCACCTAGCACTTGGAGTGGGGATACCTATGGGAAGTGGTTTAGGATGTGGGTTGGGAAAAGTTTGACGATTCAATTACTTACTTCGCTTTACATTTTAACCAAATAAGGTGTGTTAGGTAAGTTTATAAGTAATTTCACATGCTCAAAGGAAGTAATCCTTTCCGTTCATTTATTATCTTCGGATGCTTTTTTTCAGCCTGTTCAATTATATATTTTGCCTTCCATTTTTTCTACTAAATTTGGATCGTTCGATTTAATTCATCATTAATTGTTAACTAATAAAAAACATTTTTGAAAATAAAATAAATATGTTGACAATTAGTATTCCATTTTATAAATTTGATAAATTATATATTATAATTCAATCCTTTTTAATATGATATGCTTTTTACCTTAAATATTTTCCATAGTGCTTGTTATAGTCACAAAACCGGAAAGTTTAAAATAAACCACTCAGTGCTTCGTTTCACAAGAAAAATCCCAAAACAAAACCACTACTTGAAAATCACCCACATAGGTAATTAGCACCAGGAGCTTCTGAGTCAACCTCTCTGATAAGAAAACTCGGGCCATGTGGCGCGTGCTGGCATTATCCGAGTTTATGGTGCATGGCAGCACCACCTCCACCGACTTTCCCCCGAATTATTAGCGTAGGGAAATGGAAAATATGAAGAGTGAAAAGCATTTAACAGACAATTGCGTGCGGCGTGTGGGCGATCCATCAGCAGTTGATGAAAATATGCTGATAAGTCGGCGAGAAAGCCATTAGCAAGGTAGAGAGGGATAGGTTGGAGTATCCTGGCTGGGTTTTTAATAACTGTCATGATCCTGCGGCGTCGCTTATTGGAAACCATTTGAAGTGGCAGCTTGGAGGAGAGTCGCGTGCCGATCGCAAGCTGTGCCTGCCATTTTTATGATCCCATGCTGAGGGCTAGTACCGATGATCTGTCTGTCAGTCAGTCAGTCGGTCGGTAGGTCTCCCCCATTTCATCTCTCCGGATGTCAAATATCTGCGAACGGAGTTTCGTTGTCTGTTGTCATCGCGGCATCGGGTTTCAATAATAGTTCTCTGCAGCTTTCGACTTGCGATGATGGATCGTGTTGCACGGTGTCTCGCTTATTGACTAACTGACAGAGGGGTGGGTATGGATTGCCTAATGGGAATCCGAATCCCCGTGACTCAAGTACCTTTCCAGGGGGATCTGAAGTTTTATGAGCCTTGGAAGCCCTCGCATTCCTCAGCCCTCGAGTTATTTGTTTTATTCTCTCCTCTGCTTTTCCTGAAAACTCTTCGATAAACTTTAATGAGCATGTCAGAAATTCTACTGGTGGGTAGTACCCACCAATCGATGACAAATTGTATTCTATCCATGTGAAAGTTGCAGCTCTGATTGATGTTGGAGACTGACTGTCAACGGTTTAGTGGATCGTTTAACTAATTGCTCAATAACATACCTGCCAGAAACCATTAGAACAAGTGCATCAAGATGCGCCTGGGGCCCAAAGAGCATTTCCATTTCCAATTCCAATTCCCAGACTCCAAGTTTAGACGCCGGACTATTAATCACACGAAATTCTGGCATAAAATACAATTTCATTAATTGTGGCCAAAACACACTCGCAGAAGGAAAACCACACCCGCATGCCACTCAAGAGAGTTTCCCACGAGTGAGTAGTTCCATACCAGTCACTTCACCTCCAGCTCCCATTTCGGATACAGTTGCTCTGTTTGCTCTCGAAGTCCCTGACCCTTGACTGGCGCTATATTTAGTATTGGGCACACACCCCCAGGTGGCTACCGATGAGGAGCAGAGCATTGGCCAGTGCGATCACGTAGCTTTTTTCCAGCAAAAGGTGTCACAAGGTGATGGTAAAAAGAGTTGAGCGTCCTATCGCCTCGACTGCAATTCACGTGAAGACAGCTGCCGCAGAAGCAGCCAGAGGAATGGATGTGGATGCAGCCGCATTCCGTGCCCTCATATTGTAGTTCAGTGTCAACGTCAACCACGTAATCAACTTACAGGAACCCATTGCCAGGGCAAACAGTCAGCACTCTACACTGAGAACAAAACAGATTTAACAACAAAATATTACGACGTGCTATGTTTTACAAGTAAATCAATTTACTAGTTGTACGAATATATTTATATTTTATTTTTGTAATAATAATAATAATAATAATTGTATCTTTCATATGAAAGTAGAAAATTCGCCGATAATAATACCAAGAAAAGTTCTGAGTGTTATAATTAGAATACTGCAGACTTTATTCTAAACGCAGAATTGAAAACTAGCGGCACTATAAACGAAACTATCCTGAAAATATATATTTTGTTATAAAATTGGATGGTATGGTAAGACCGCTTAATAATATTTATAAAACCATAAATTTTTAATATTTTTAAAACGTTTCTTTGTTGATGTTGTTGCAGTTATGTAAATAAATAAACATTTCCCCCAATAACCTAGCTAGTTGTTTCTGCCAGTGCACACACTCTATCAACATCCCTTCCACGGACAGCAAAAAAATTGCAACAATCCGCAGAGGCAACCCCCGATAGATGAGGACCAAGTCCTCCGAGCTATCTTCCCTCAGCAAAAAGGCAGGCAGTCCTGGGCTCACTAATGTTTGGTTTCATTAGTCCTGAGCGACAAATCAAACAGTTTGTGGCAGTTTGTTTGCTGTATTTTTTCCGGCATCCATCCGTTGTTTACACTCATTAGTTGGTCCTGCCTGGCATTCGGTTTATTCCTAAATTCTAGATCCAGAGTCCTGAATATCGGAAAGCGTCGCACCCCTGTGACAACTAGCATACGTTTCAAGGGGCGCACTGATTTCGGTCGGTTGTTGAGGGTGCCACTCGGATGTTGTTTCGTTTTCATTATTTAAAGCACATTAATAATCACATTTGACAACAGAGCAGCCGGAATAGGATTAGGGCAGGGGGTTGGGAAATCGGGGGGAGTGACAGGAGTCGCGGATCGGAAAACTGCAAACAAATATTTGCAAAGGACATGGCACTTAACGCGCTTGTAATTGTGACTATTTGGGTGGTTTCGCCCACTTGGGTGGCTGCGCTTTTTATGACCTTCGAATTGGGTGCAAAAGATGGCAATCTCACCCGAAAGTGGGTGTTTCAGTCGATTGATTTGTGGGTAGTTACGTGGTATTTCATTGACTTTGATTATCATAAATCGTGCTTTGGTGGTCCTCCGTAAACATTTCTATTAACAACAACAGGGTCCAAAAACATGCATAATTATGATTGCTTCGCTCCTTTTAGCCGACGTGTTTTTGTCGCCGGGTCTTCAAACAAAAGCGACAACGATACACAGATACCTATATATATGGGGGGAACAACAAAAGACACTCAGGCAGCGACCACACATGAGGCAACTTGGAACTTGGAGTAGCCTGAGATAGACAGCGAGACAATGGGGCACTTTTTGTGCGGCGGTCTCATATGTGAGCCGTGTATTTTGGTTATCGAATAATCAAGTTGTGCATCACGGACTCTCCCCAACCAGAACTAAAAAGTGGAAAAGGGGCAAGACAATTAATTGTAAGGTCGTTTGATGTGAACACTTTCACCCAAAACAAACAGATACGAGTGTCCTTTTTCCAGTCGCTTTGATGTCGGTCATTTGAGCCTGGGATCTGCTGCAAGTGCGGGGACAGAGCAATCATTAATCACAGCGATTTGGATTTGGATTTGTATAAATATTTAATTAACCGCAGAGGAGAGTGTAGGGAAAGTATCTGACAGATCGTAGGCGCCAGCGAGGTGGGGGAAATTAATGGAGTTGTTTGGGAAAGTGAAAACTGATTTCCAGGATAAAACTCCTTTGTGATCAAAGCTCTGTCCGAGAGGTTTGGAGATTCCACGAATACCAATCAATTGGTCTGCTGCTTCGATTGCAAGCAACCCACGTCACTTGAGAAAGGGCAGCCAAAATAAAATTATTTTCATGCGTGTTGTCCGTTCCATCAACAAAGTGGCCTGAGTCTTCCCAGAAAATACGCATAACAAAGCGCTTCTCTGGCCGAAATCTCCCTGTCTTCCGAGGGGAATCGAATCCTTCCCAACCGGCACTCTCTCAATTTGTATTGTCATTAGCGATTATGGGCCTCGAATCGTTTGGGGGATGGGCGTAATCCGATATGTTGACAGAACGCATAAACGAGGAACGGAGCATCAGGACCAAAAACCAGACAGCACCGCTGACAAGCCTATAAAGCATTCGATCCTTGGCGCTACTTCAAAATGTTTACTCCTTTTGTGGGCCTGAGCTCAATAAAAACGTAATCAAACCCGCAATGCGAGGTGGTTGAGGGGGATGATGATGATGCGTCACAAAAAGAGCAAGGGATCGGGATCGGAATGGGTATCGGTCCAGGTTTTCCATCGAAAAACCATGGCGCAGGCGTAGCGAAAGTGAAATCGAGACGCAGCCACAATCGAATCGGCAGCTGGAACACCTTCGCATCATCATCATCATTCTCATCCTCATCCTTGTGATCAACGAACCCATATATACCCAAACCCTCACCTTCGAGATCATCGAGGCTGTTTCTGTTTTGTTTAGAGGCCCACAAAGAGCCAAAGTCAAAAGGGGCACGCGCTCGATTCTCGATTTTAAGCCTAGACAGGAGACATTGTGACTGATCGGGGTCGTATCCTCGATCCTCAGACGATCGGTGTGTTGTCTAGACAAGCCGCAGACACAAGTTTAATAGACTTATTGTAATTGAGTCACAAAAGCCACTCGATATTCATTTCCACATGGTACATAACTCTTTTCGTCTTTTCCAGCTGTCATTTAGGGAAAGGTGTTACCCCTTTATGAAACAATCTCGGTTGAAGAGCGCAATTCGATGTGTTAATGTTAAAGGAAATTTAATTAAAATTTGCAAATGTTTTGCCCATTTTCAATGTCATTCCCGTCATGTCACCACATGCCTTTGTCATGTTGACTTGCCCACCTTTTTGTGGGATTTGCTCACATGTCCCAAAAGGGAATAGGGCACAATGCGTATACTTGGCCAACTGTTTGCCTTTGCCCCTCATATTTCTATGGGACAAGTTAACAAGTTAATTTTCCATATTTTCTTTGGTCCAACTTTACAGCGTAGTCATGTCCTGGTGTGTGTCCTTTGTGGTTTCCAAAGGGTTAAACTTGGGACTTGACCCCAATGAATAATAGTGCTAATGAGTGATTTAAAATTGGGCTATACTAAAGGAGTTTGAAAGCAACTTTAAACTTCACTGAAAATATTTATTAACTCCCCATCCTAAGGAGTCTGTCATCTCCCATACAACCACCCCAAAAAGGGGGCTGGACAGGCGATAATCCTTTTGTAGCCCATCGCATTGTTTGGCATTTTCACGCAAGAGCAAATCGTAAATGTCAATAACAGCGCATCTGTGTAATGGGATAAGACCTCGGATTTTAACGCAGGGGGAGGCTGGAATCAGAACCATTTCGTTTTTACACATGCCAACCTGACAATAATACAATAATTCAAAGCTCAAAAAGGTCAGAGTTTCGAAGTTCCGCCCCCCAAAAAAGCAGTGCAAAGTCGAAAACATTTAAAGACAAATTAATGTGTATTTAAGCTGCCCCAATCAGCTTCAGGCCAAAGACTAATTGCCCCAAGGCGAAACGGAGAAAATCTCACGCCTTTGTTGATTAATTAATCAAAGTAAATAGTTGCAATGCTTGCCCGGCGAAGAGCGAGCCAAGAGCGAAGGTCATTAGCGTAATCTAAACGGCCTATTGATAAGCTTTTTCCACACCTAATTGCTACATTAATTTTCCGATGAGCCGGGAGGCCACACCAGTGGCGATGGCCACTACGAAACTGGGTTTCCAGGCAGCGCCTCCGCTCCCGGCGGGCGTGGGAAACAGTTCATCCCAGACGGCATATCGATCGGAATAGCCGGGCGAACCCACCTGGGTCACCACCCCGTTGTAGAGCATCTTCAGGTCCGTTGAGTTGCAGGGCGGCCAGATATCAGTGGTGTTTAGGGGTGTCCTGAAACGGGGGAAGTATACAAAAAGTTTCATTGTTTACCCTAAAAACCATATGCTTTTTTTAATTACTCTTCCAAGATTGTTTTCAAAGTTATAATTCAAGTTTATAACTCACCCCGTTCTCGCAAATTGTGTAAACCAGCTGGTTAAACGCTCCATCATGAAAATATCCGGATGACCTTCTGGCATTATGGTGCCATACCAAAGTCCCGGCATCACATACTGCAGATCATCCGCATGACCCACTCCCAAGGGTTTTTGATCCTTGCCCAAAGGAGCTGACATACTTCGATCACCAACGTAATCCGTGCGCATATAATAAACTGGAGTGTAGTGTCTAGCCAGGTGAACTAGGCGATGCACACCATGGCCTATGATACCATCGGAAAAGATCTGTCCAAAGTTTTCAATGTTTTCCGTATTGATTCCACTAATATTATTGCCTAGATAAAAATCCTTGAGTCGTTGACTTATTATCGAATTTTTTCTATAGAGAATCAACTCCGGAGCGTATTCCACAAAGTTTGAGCCAAGATCATGGAGCAAAAGCTCATTTTCCAGGTGAACTGCAAGAAGTAAAAACATTAGCTATAAGATATAACCAAACAAAAATACCATACCTCACCATTAACGGTGTAGTCCAATTCGTTGGCCGTGTAACTGGTCAGCAAAGGCACCTTGTTAAAGTTTCCTTCCTCGATAAGTTCCGTGGGATGCCTGGGTAAAAAGTATCCGTCGATCTCGTAGTTCCACTTCATGTTAACAAACTGATATGTTTCCCATGCCTTGCAGATTTCCACAATGCGTGGCCAGGTCTCATTACGGAGGCACTCCACCAGATCCGTGGGATCGTACATTGGACAACCCAGTTCACGAGCCAGTTTACGTGTCCAAAAAAGGTTATCGATATCAAAGTGATTGGTGACCGAACCGCTCATGAGGATTGCCCGATGGAAAAGTCCGGCGGAAAGGGGCGAGGCCAGGTGTAGACTGACTGCCATTGAGCCAGCACTCATACCCAAAATAGTCACCATCTCAGGATCACCACCAAAGTGGGTTATGTGATCTCTAACCCATTCCAGAGCCATCACTTGATCTAGGTAGCCAAAGTTTCCCTTCGACTCGCTGCTGTTGGTGCTTAAAAAGCCGAGAGCTCCAAGACGATAGTTGAAGGCTACAAAAACAACATCGTGATCTAGCAAATACTGAGGACCTGCTTCGTAGATACTATGTCCACTGCCCAGGACATTGGCTCCTCCATGGATGTATACGATCACTGGTATCTTTTCCTCAAAGTTTTTTGTAAAAACGTTTAGTTTGAGGCAATCCTCACTCATGAGCAAAGTAATTCCTGGTTGAGGGCAAACCAGGGAATCGGATGTGGCCTTGAGCACCTCGTCACTCCAAATGGTTTCTGGAAGGGGATTGGAGAACCTAAGTTGCCCCACTGGAGGTTGGGCATATCGTATCCCTCTAAAGGCGTATATTGTCTTGCCTTGGAAGCTCTGCATTGTACCACCTTGTATTTTGCCCAAGGAGAGCTCTACAACAGGATTATCGCCAACGAAAGTAACACTACTGGTAAAACCTACTGAAAACACAAGAAGAGTGCAGAAAATGGGAAGCAGACAAGCCATTCTGGGTTTTCTAAATCAATTAAAATAGTTTAATATTCAAAAATATTTATAATCTCTTTGGCTCTTACCAAACGGAAATTCTCTGTGGGAATCGTTAGGAATCTTGCGTGGTTCTCAGAGTTTTCGCAATAGTTTAATAGTTTTTCCCCGTTTCGGTGGTGCGCACCCGCATATTACGAGTATCTCAGCGGAACTGCAGGTTTCGCACGCCTTCTACTTCTTCGGGTGGGACTATCTCAAAAACCACTTAGAGATAACTTGATCGATTATTACTTGGTCAAGATTAGTCTTCGTGTTGGTCGAAGCTTGTATCAAAATAAACACAAGATTAGGCCAACTATTCCGCGTTCGTTCAATCTGGTAATTCAAACTCATGACCTTGTACTTTAATTACTGAACTCCAATTCAATTGAAACTTATTGCTTCATTGAGAGATTTCGAGTTCTATTCTGGATTTGGGTTCGGCATAACAGTCGTTAGACACTTCACCCTGATTTGCACCACCGATTGGTCCGTGGATCGGATCCTACGCCCGCAGATTTTTTAGAGTTTCGAGTTTAGTTTTTCTCATGCCAGCGACTGAGATTTAAATTGATTTCCTTATTAATGCACATCCCTCTTGTAATATTCAATTAAAACTACCCACGATGAAACAGTTCCCTTGATTGACACAAGCCGCGTGGTAATTACTCGAGCTCTGGGAGAGCCCGAGTTTTCCTTTTCATCTAGATTGAAAACTGAATATGATGGCGGTGAAGGAAATCCCACAATGACCTTTTCGAAATGAATTCCCTTAATTGCGATGGCTTTTAATTGTGTCAGGAAGTAGATGATCTTCAAATCCAAGCCACAATGAATATTAATATACGAGTATTCCCTCAAAGATCACAGTCGGGGGAAACAAAAAACAATTTTCACACATCGCCGAGTAGCAAAACTCGAAAACGAAACAATTTGCTCTCCCCAAAACGAATTTGCGACAATCTGCTGCCGTTCCTGAGGAGCTGAACCCAGTATTCCGGACACTTGAGTGCTTATGTGCACACCGCAGCACCACGGGAGGATCAGCGGCGGAGGCCGGAGGAAACCACCCTGCCCATCCAAGCTCGATCTGGACGGAGCCACTCGAGTTGTTGCAAATATATGAGTGGCCTCTTGACAGACATCGTCGTCATCATCATCGTTCCCGGCGTCGTGGAAGCTCAAACTGTGCCACTTGAGGGCTCTTTGTGTACCCTTTGTGGCAGGCTGCTTCCAAGCTTCCTGTGGCTTGATGACGTCGCCGGGCAGCCCAGACATGCAAAAATTTCTCACGCATCGCAGGCAGATGTTGTTGTTATGTTGGGGTTAAGTGGGAGAATCTATCAACTCTTAAGGTTCAAGGAATTTCTGCTCGGAATTTGTCTAGTTCCGTGGATCGAGCAAATTATTAAATATCCTAAATATTGTTTCCAATTCGAAGTTAAAAGACCTATGGCCATATGACACTTACTTAAATTGCGGCTAACTGACCAAATTTTTAAAGAGATCATGTTAGTCTAGGTTTAGGACTAGAGATTTTTCATATAATAAACCAAATCTTTCATATTTAGGCTGCCATGACTTTTTAAATATATTCAGTAAAAATTTAAGCATGTATCATATGACCATAATGGATGTTTTTAGGTGATGTTCTGATTAATAACATCCTTTGAATAACCCATGATATCGAAATAAAATATACCTAATGTTATAGTTATAGCTAAAAATCTCGAAAAATATATTTGGTGAAAATATTTAATTCAAAGTATTAAATATTTTCGAAAAAAAAATTTTTCTACGTTTTTAAAAGTATTTCAAAATAGATAATAAAACGGTGTCTATTTTAAATGCAAAATAAAAATGTAAAGTTCTGCAGAATTGGCGGTTCAATATGGCTTCCATAAAATTACCATAAGGCCAAATGTCTTCGTTACAAAATGTTCGCATTAACCTACCCAGATACTTAGTTGAGGTCACGCCCTTGGAGGTCTTGAGTCGCACCCCCAAAAGGAAATTAAAAGATCGATTTCATTAATTCCACATTTGCGAAATTTTCCTGCAGCTGCTGCAGCGAAGCCCACTAGAAAACCCAGCCATGCTCAGCCATGCAAATTCGCAGATATTTCAATAATAACTGGCTCGGCTATTAGATGACAACTGAATGGTAACAGTCGCAACTCTCAAGTGACCAACATGCAGGCCTCCTTGTGGGTTCCTTTCCTCTGGGAGAATGAAAGAAATGCCACGCCCCTCGCTGAGTCCGAGGGCAATGCCAACTCCACTCCGAATCCAAATCCCATTCACAGTTCGCAGAACAAAGCCGAAGGAAACCCAAGGAAAGCAACAATTGCCGCACACGATAAACCACTTCAGTAATCAATCAAAGCGATAGGGAAACCCAGACCTCAACGTCTTGTAATGAATATTTAAAGATGGAAATTATCGCAATCCGACAAAGGGGCGAGTTCTCCGGCATTTTGCATAACTGATAGCGGAACAATAGACCAATATCGAAGAATGCTTTGCATACTCATAAGCATAAGCATACGAGCATAATGCGATAATTTGAGCACAAAAGTGCCGGGGCCAAGGGTTCGGTTCAGTTTGGCACTAACATCTTGCTGCCTCTAATCGCATGGCAGGAACATATTTCTGTAATCAATACGGGGGAAAGGAAAGTTCTGGGAGATCGCCGGGGACTCGATCAAGTGAGCAAATGTCCTGAATGTGAAACAAATAACAAAAAGCCCTCAAGGGCTCGCAGGATCCGAGTGGATCCGAGTGGATCCGAGTATTACTTGTAGGGTTGCTCTGCTCTCCAGACCTTTGTGGTATTGTAATGAGAGTGACGTCTTATTTGCGCCAGACGAGGGTTAAGAAACGGGCTAGCTCCTCAGGAGAAAGGGTATTTTTGCTTTAAACCTTTCCTTGAATTTTTTTCACACCATTGCTCAGCGATTGTTTGGTAAATAGGCTCTAATTTCTAATTGTTGAAGTGATCATATCAAGGCGAAAATTAAAACATTACATTTCTTATTGATGTTTCTTCGGAAGCTAAAACATATTAAAAGAAAAACTAAACATATGGATATTTTAAAGAGGCTAAAACCAAATATTACAGTTTTTCTGCTAGAATACTAAGATTTATTTAAGTCAGAGATAGTTAAAACTTATAATTGAGTAATTTTAGAGAACTCTGTATAAACAGTATAATAAACTGTTGAAACTAGTTCTCTACTTAATAATTCGTTGGCAATTATTATTAAATAAAAGCCACTTACTCCAAAAAATTAACAATGTTTTTTATCACCCTAACATGCAAATAAACTGGAAACTTCGAGGCAAAGAACTCCCTCTACTTAAGTTTTAGAGGTTTTACAATGGGAATTGATGTGCCCAAGGCCTAGGGCAAACCCTCAATTGGCTTTGGTGGCAGTGGATCTACCCCCAATCTAAATAAACAAACTCTAAAAGGGCTAAGTGAACCCTAAAATGAAAGTTTCAACGGACATGAGATCGTAATATTTGCCACTTAATTGAGATTAATTGAAGTTATGTGCCCGATATGAATAAACAACTTTGCAGCCATTTTGTATATGAGTGCGTTTTATGTGCACACAACACATCGTCCGAAAATATTATTAATAATTACAAGAGCAAGGCAATGGCACCCCGAAAATAGTTATAGAGTCGAACCCTCGGGCAGACGAAAATTTTATTAAATTAAATTGAGTGCGACGGAGTTTGTGGAGCAGTGGAAGCCAAACATCAGTTCGAATATGTGTATCTTTCAGATACTCTCTCGCTGGGCGATGAAAATCAAACGCTATTGAGCCAGCCAGTTGATCTGCGCTTTACCCCCGAAAATAAAAGATCTCTGGCGATCGCGAGGTGAATGCACTCGCATTCTAATAACGCTCTTGCTGATGGTAATACCAGACCAGAGTTACGGATCTCCCCTGAAAGTCCCTTAATTGGTGGATTGTGGATTGCTTTGGATGCACGGCGTGCGTGTTAATAGGCATCGTTTCGTTGTAAGTCACAACTAGCAATTTAGGCTAATTGACATTCAAATGCAGTTGAATAAACTTTTTGGGCAACTGTAATGGCTGCACTGCTAAATGATTGTAATAGCTCAGGTCGTTGGCTTCTCCAATAATTCTGTAACATTCATTTAGGGATTTACGGCACCACAGGATCGTCCATCATCATCATCAACCCCATCGATAGATCGCGCCCATCATTTATAAATTGCCGCATCAAATAAAGGCAAACGCTTGAGTAAATCCACTTAATTGCTGTGCGAATCCGTGATGTCCGTAAAATACTCCTTGCTGGAAGGCCCGGCCTTCGCAATCAGTTGCGAATAAAAAAAGGAGAGAGTTATACGGTCCGGATGTGTTTGCACTCGTGTAAACATGCGTTTGTCATTAGACACACCGGAAATATTGACAGCATTCGACACGCGGCGCACGACCAGCCGGAATTCTTGCAATAGGAACTTGCCACTGTATTTGCCATTTGATTTTTTAAAATTGTTAAAATTTTCAATTCAACTGTTTCACAATTGTTTTCCCAAGTTTCGCTTTTGCGCTTGAGTAAGCAACGTTAGATCTTCGAGGCTACCCTGACCGAAGGATCGGGTGGTTTTATATTTTTTTACGTTTTGAAGAGGGGTGTCCTTGTCCCTTTCGTATCCCCGTACGTGTGTCCTTTGTCTGGGCATCTTTGTTTGGCCCGAAGTGTCGTCGCCATGTCGAATTATCGTGTTTTTTAACTGAAGTACCTGAAATTTCACAGTTTCGGCTTATGTTTTTTATATTCCTCAGAGAGGAGCAGAGTTTACTAATTAGGTTTTATTGCGTAGCGCGAATCGCTGTGTCGCCGCTGGCAAGTGTGAAAAATCTTCTCTTTTTTATGGTTTAAAATTTTGTCAAGAGCCGTCGATCTTCTTTCTTGGCCGCAATTTATTGGGACTTTAATTGCACATTCGAAAAATATTCAGCCTTGATTCCAGGAATATGTTTTTCAGTAGAGTACCGCTAAATGCCACGCGCTTCTAAACAATCAAAACAATTCTGGGGCTTGTGGAATTTTCAGTAAGGACTAGGAATGCGGGTATCTCTTGATGGATTGTGGGAGAATGCTTGTAAATGT